GATAGCACTTTCATACTCAAATTGTGCTATGTTGCACTTGCATACTCAAGTTGTGATATAGCTCTTCCATCATTCTTTATAAGTGTTAAATTTGAATCAAATGAAGTATTAACCTCTTTAATGTTCAAGTTTTTGAACTTATTAGTCACATTCTCAACATAATGTAATTATCTTAACATAAAACCCCCTCTAGTCTTGATGACTTTGATACTTAGTATGGTATCCACTTGACCAAGATCTTTCATTTTAAATGTGAAAGATAGAAACCTCTTTATTTCCTTTATATCTTGTATTTGATTGCTCACAATCAACATTTCATCCACGTATAAACAAATGAGCACAACATGATTATCAAAGAATTTTGAATATAAGCATTTATCAACACTATTGTGTTCACGGTCTTCATTTTATTGACAATGATTTGCAACTCATGGACTTGTCCTAACAAATGCAAGTTCTCAAAAAACTTAAAAGCAAAATACTTAGAAATAAGAAATTTTTTAGTCCATTATTCCTCGGCCTTGTATTCAGTTTCCAACGATTCCCATATCTCCTTTGCTGAGGTGTTATTTTTGTAGAGATCATAGAGATGATCAGAGAGATCGTTTAGAATGTGTCCTTTACATATCGATTCATCTCCTTCTCTTTTCTTCCTTTCTGCACTTGTTTTGTCGGTGTCATTTCGGGTTAGTTTCGGCAATGATGCCTAGTTTGGATCCAAAATATAAAAGATCTTTAAGATTGTAAGAAGAAACTTCAACTTGTCATTCCATCTTATAAAGTTTGATCTATCGTATCTGTCAAGCCTTACAAGATCTTTTATATTTTGGATCCAAACTTGGCGTTATTGCCGAAACTAACCCGAAATGACACCGACAAAACAAGTGCAAAAAGGAAGAAAAGAGAAGAAGATGAATCGATATGTAAAGGACACATTCTAAACGATCTCTCTGATCATCTCTATGATCTCTACAAAAATAACACCTCAGCAAAGGAGATATGGGAATCGTTGGAAACTAAATTTATCATCTTTATCATAGCTATAGTTGTCTCGTTCTCCATGTCCGTTATTATTTGAGATTGTTGAACAAAGTGGATGAAGAACGAAAATAAAACCAGCAACAAGAAATCTCCAAATGGAAGGTTTGAACACGATTATGAATCATTGTCCTCAAACGATATTTGCCGCTACCGGATTAAGTGCTTGAATGTTTCAATGACAAATAGTTTGTAAAAGTAAACAAATCTTAATCCAAGTATGAATCAACCAATCAAGACTTGGAAAATCACTCTTCATTATTAATTTGAACAATATCCAACAAACTCTATCAACACATTTCATTGGATTCACAAGTAATATATATTTATTTACCGCTCATTTTCTAAAAGTAAAATTTTAGCAAAATAAATTGATATCCAAACAAAGGCGAAGGGATAAAAAAATTAACTTTTAAGTTACTCAAAAGAAAAAAACAAAAATAAAAAAATAAAAAAAATATATAATTACCATAGTTTCAAAATACAATTTCATATTGAATTCAAAAATTTGCAAAGATAAAAATTATGAATGACAATTACAAATTAAATTTCAAATCACACATTTTTTCCAAGTCACAAATTATTCGTGAATCACAAATTAGTTATTTTATTGGTCACAACTACTCATTTTATTGATTATAATTATCCAAATATTCACAAACACTCTTCATTGCACCACAATGCTCCACTACCACTGGCATCACTCAACCACCACCATCATCGCACCACGGCTACCATGCGTTCTTTAAATCCAACATCACCTCCACCACCTGCACTAACAACCATTGTTGCAACCACCACCACCACCCCCACCTCCAACCAACCACACGGACACGAACAAACCATAAACGTAGCGTCGCCACCACCTGCACCAATAACCCAACACAGACACACAAGAAATTGTAGTTTGAACCACCATAGATACAGGGCCAATCTCTACCTCCACCTCCACCGCACACCATTTACACCAACAATCCAACACATAGGACATTGCAAATTGCACCACCCAGATTTAAATCCTAATTTTGACATAGATCACACGCCCACGTCGTTCGACGGCATTCAAAGATGTTGTACATCTCTTATCACCACGACATCAACAGATTTTAAAATGGGGATATATTTTGAAAACGAGGTTTGGAGACAGAGCTTCAAGGGAAAGAAACGACCTAGCTGTGACGATGAAAATGGAAGTGAGTGAGTACATATCTTGTGCGCCGATCCACCACTAATTTGAGAGAGAAAGGCGGTGTCTAGTTTTTGATGATGGTGGTCAGAGCGGTGGGTGGCGGAGTTAGTAGATGTGGTAGATATAGAGAGAAAACGGAGATGGAGTTGTAGAGAGAAATATAGCCGTTATTGTGTCCCACTCGTTTAATAAAAGTCAACGATAATGACTAGTTTTTCAATTTTAATCTCTACCAAAAACACTAAGAATCTCACAATTAATTAGTTTGGGGGCGTGGGTATGGTTGGTGGGTGTGGTGTGGTGTGGGTTGGGTGGAGTGGCATAGGGTGGGTGCACTTGTTTTTTGAAGGAAAATTTTTTGTATTTGATAAAATTAGAAGTTAAAAATCAGGCAAAGAAATACAGAGTGGAGAATGGGGATAAAAGAGACACTTCATCGACCCATTAGTCCAAATAATCTTTCTACCAAAATTGGATCAATACCATCTATCTTACAATAATAAAGCCACTTGTATATCATTTTTGTACATATATCATCCTTGTTGACAACACATGATTGATGAAAAATTTGTGTTTTTTTAAGGATAATGCTACAGGTACATAACCATTCACATAATGGTTCACATAATTACACGTGGCATGTGATCCTGCCTTTAATTCAACTTTCACACTTACACATCAATAAGTGGATGATTGCCACGTCACCATTATGTGAACCATTATGTAGAAGTACAACTAGATTAATCTTTTTTTTTAAACTGTTAAATTGTAACTTGATATGTGGTGAATTGTACACTATGATGTTCACCAAACATAATTGATTTTACAATGCCAAATAATTGTTATAATATTACGTAACACTCTGTTATTCAACAACTTAACCACCCTATTTTTTTAAAGGGAAATGCTACAAGTACATTAGGGGTGCCATAATGGACACATGACACCCCACCATTGAAGAGTGTGAAGAATTATCCTTTTTTAAATCAATTCACCTGACACCTAGTATTCTCACTTAACCCTAATCAATATAGGCCAATTAAAAGCCAATATTGTTGCTGTGGAAGGCCAGCCCTCGGTCTTATTACTAGAAGGAGTGGAAAGTGAATCGCGTTGCACAAAAATTGGGAACAATTTTCTGTGGAGGGAAAAGTAGACGCGTTCATCACCCTCTTGGCACCTATTGCAGAGATTTATACGAGGACAAGTCATCTTCTTCATTGGAAGGTAATATCAGATTTACCCGTGTATACGCGTACTGTAAATCTGCTGGGTTTTGATTGTTGGTAATGATTTAATTTCAACAAAACCTCGATCTAAGATTCCGTCCAGCCTTATCACTATTATTTTCTTCTAGCTCCTTTATTGGGCTTTACATGTTGATTTCCCACTCGATTTGATTGCTATGAATGTTTTAATTTAAACGATCTAAGATCCGTCCAGGCCCAGCCTTATCGCCATTCTTTTCTTCTTCTTCTTCTTCATTTGAATTTTGTTTTTACAAAATTTCTCTTTCTTGATGATAATCTTCCTTACACAACACCGATTTTCTCGGCAGTCTCTCTTGAATTATTGATGTGCTTGTTCACGGGTTTCATTAAGATTTTAAGGTATTATTGGAATGCAATTCTAGATTTTTTCCCCGTTTTAGGAAGATTTCATCATGTACTTTGAAATATCCAAGTCCTAGAGTAATTTAATACACTTGTCCTTTCATTTTCTTCTTCTTCTTCTTCTTCTTCATTTGCATTTTTAACATTTTTTTGCTGTGAACTTGCTTTGCTTTTACCATCACAATAAAAATTAGCTGACCCTGTTTTTATTTCTAAGACAACTTGTAGCTCCAGGTGATTTCTGAGATACTATGGCGAGCGTTGATGAACCACTGTATCCAATAGCAGTATTAATAGACGAGTTGAAGAACGATGATATTCAACTGCGGCTGAATTCCATTCGCAGACTATCTACCATTGCTCGTGCCCTTGGGGAGGAGAGGACACGGAAAGAATTAATCCCATTTTTGAGTGAGAATAATGACGATGATGATGAGGTACTTCTCGCTATGGCAGAAGAGTTGGGCGTGTTTATTCCATATGTTGGAGGGGTGGAGCATGCCCATGTATTGCTCCCACCCCTGGAAACACTTTGCATTGTGGAGGAGACCTGTGTGAGAGACAAAGCTGTGGAGTCCTTGTGCAGAATTGGATCACAGATGAGAGAAAGTGATTTGGTTGATTATTTTATTCCTCTCGTGAAGGTTAGACAACCCCGTTCCATAATTCATAATCTATGCTGATCTTTTAAGCGATGCCATTTTTGTTACATGTTGGTTGCAAGCAACTGGCATATATCAGTTTGGGATAATTATGAAACAGTATTAGATTTTGTTTTATGTTCCTTTCTCGAGTAACCTTGGGGACATTTTCAAATTAAAATTTGCAGTATGACAATGGAATCAATTGAACACTATTTTGTTTCTTTGGAGATTTGAACACATGCATTAAATAAATTTTAGTGTGAGATCTTGCTGATTTAATTGCTTCATTGAAGTGTTGCTATTTCTGCTTCTTCTAATCACTGATTTATTTATTACTTTTGCTTACAGAGGCTGGCAGCTGGTGAGTGGTTTACAGCTCGAGTTTCAGCTTGTGGACTGTTTCATATTGCTTACCCAAGTGCCCCAGATATGTTAAAGACAGAATTACGATCTATATACAGCCAGTTATGCCAAGATGATATGCCAATGGTGAGAAGGGCTGCTGCAACAAACTTAGGGAAATTTGCTGCCACTGTTGAAGCCGCTCATCTCAAGACTGACATCATGTCCATGTTTGAGGATCTTACACAGGATGGTAATTAATTTTTAATATTTTCAGTCTTACAATTGTTAGTAATGGTGAAGCAATTCATCTAAGATGTCATGACATATCTAGATTCTAGTAATACTTGACATGGTTCAATTAATCTATCAAACACTTAAAGTTGATGCAAGAGAAATTGGAAAGTGAGGACGGATTTGTGAAAGTAATGCGTAATTTCTATGTCTGTTTAATCATTATGAGAACCTATGTTGAGCGAAGTTATGTTTCTTTGAAAATTAATTTGGTGTTGAGCAAATACTCAATACCCAAATTGGCTTACAAAGTGCATCATGATATGATTTAAGTGCTTTCTAGGATGTCTGAGAACTTACCATTGGTATTTATCTACGACCTATTTGAAGATACACGAAAAGTTTATTCTAGTCTCCCTTGTGCTTTTGTTTTAGATTCTTTGTTTCACTCTGTTTCAAGCAATTTTATTAGAGGAAATTGTGAAAATCTGAGATGGATTTGTTTACTTTTGGTATGAATTGGGTAAGCTTGCTTTGTAAGCATTCTGGTTAGCTGGATTTATAATAGCGTCTTCTTCTTCCCTTTTCCCTTACATGTAAAGGTAGAAAACGCGAACAAAAAATCGTGCCAAACGTTCTAGGTCATGGAAAAAGTAGCTCTTAAAGCTGAGGCCTGTAATCGAATAACTGAAAAAGTAGCTTAAGGTGTTCAAAGAAAACCTCATTTGAGGCGGCTGTCAAGGCATAAGCCTTGAACAACATTTTTAAACATGATTTTGTGGTGGTGATGAACTAACATTAACTTCATTAATGCCTCTTTTCAGACCAAGACTCTGTTCGGTTACTCGCTGTTGAGGGCTGTGCTGCTCTTGGCAAGTTGTTGGAGCCTCAAGATTGTGTTTCACATATTCTCCCTGTAATTGTCAACTTTTCACAGGTACAATGCAAAATGCAATCTATGTTGTTCTTCCAGTTGTCTTTGCCTTACCTGCTTGTTTTAGAGCCTTCTTGGTAGCCATTTTTTCTAGATTGTCATGTTGCATTATAAAGTTCATTTATCTAGGTATTTATGTTGATAATCACCATTGTCGACACAACAATGTTTTTTCTTGGAAATCTTTTTATGTACTTGTCCTAATTAGTTGTACAGTTGTTGTGTATTTTGTAGCTTACTTTCATCTAAACATTGCATATTCATATTTGATATATTTTTTAGGGGTTCATAAAAGATTGTTATATTTTCAAAACAGGATGTCTTAACATGGTATGCTCATGGTCATCTCAGGCAGTTATTGTAGCTTAACTTATTTTTATCCTCAGGATAAGTCTTGGCGTGTTCGCTATATGGTTGCTAACCAGTTGTACGAGCTTTGTGAAGCAGTGGGACCTGAACCTACCAGGTAATTATTTAATCTATACTTCTATTTTTCCATCTTCTGCATTTCGTACTTCTGTGTGGACACAGTCATTAAAATGTTGTACATGTCCAAGAATGTTATGGGTGTTTAAATATGAAATTTGATGCCTTCTTGGTGATGTCTATACTTAAGTTGTAATCCTTGTAACTTAAAGTACAACTGTAGTTTAACTTTACTGGTAAACAAGGATGTAGATTAATTGTAATTTCCTTTCTTCTTTCACTTCCGTGGATTGTTATTTTTGTCATGAAGTATGTGACTTAATGTGATTATATATTTCCAGGACGGATTTGGTTCCTGCATATGTGCGTCTACTTCGAGATAATGAAGCAGAAGTACGTATAGCAGCTGCTGGTAAAGTCACCAAATTCTGTCGGATTCTTAACCCTGAGCTTGCTATTCAGCATATTCTTCCATGTGTGAAGGTACACAGCAGGGTCTTCTCCAGTTGTATATACCTTTTAGTTCATGAATATTTTGTTGAGTTGATGTTGTGTATCCTTTCACAATCTCATAATTGACAGTGTTATCTGGCAGGAATTATCATCAGATTCATCGCAACATGTTAGGTCTGCTTTGGCTTCCGTTATAATGGGAATGGCTCCTGTGTTAGGAAAGGTAAAGATTCTGAACTTTAAGTTGAGGGAATTCTTGTTCTGCAATTATTTCATTAATGGGTGCACAGCTGGATTTGGATATTCTTTTTCTTTTCCACATGTGATTAGCTCATGTAATGTAACATTGTCGTCAAAGAATGTGTTATATTTGCAATGGTTTAATTTTATTATCTCGGCCTGTGGTTATGAGACTAGAAAGTGGTACGATGTGCTCCATACCTTCCAGACAAGAAGTACCTGAAAAAGTATTTATAATTCTTTTATAGCATGAGAAGTAGTGAAGTACCTAACTCACTAATCGTGTCATAATTTATTACACTGCTGTTTTTGCTAACTACTCTGATCTTAACTTGGTTAGCTGCTAGAGCTGTGCCTTAATATGGTTTTGGATTTTTGGTTTCATATTTACGCACATCGTTCGTTAACCTTCATTAGTAACAATCCGAGGCCCTGTTTGGTACACATTATTTTTTTCATTCTCATTCTTCTATTCATTTTCAACTACATATTCTTCAATAAAATAATATTTTTCATCAGTTTTTAATATAGATGACATCAACATAAACTCGATAGTACTTGAAAAATAAATTGTGATTTACTATTAAGGCCCTGTTTGGTACACATTATTTTTTTCATTCTCATTCTTCTACTCATTTTCAACTACATATTCTTCAATAAAATAATATTTTTCATCACATCAATAACTTTTTCTTCATTTTTAACCACACATTCTCCATCAATCTACTATTCAATAATATATTCTTTTAAAAGATTGTGTCCCAAACACTCTCTGAGTATACAGCTATCTATCTAGATATGGTCTCACTGTTGCTTATTCATCTTTTATTTCTTGTTTAAACCTGTACTAGACTGTATATCATCTCTGTCAATATTTGGGGAGACCATTCACTTCCACCATTGCAATGTGTTGTTGAGCCCATTGATTATCAGTTACATGGTGGCCTGTCTTCAGGACGTGCATGCTTGGTATCATCTAAGTACAGAAAATAGAAAAAAAGAAAAATCGTTGGCACTTAATATGTCCTTAGATATTGTTAACAAAAAAAGAAAAGGATAACTGATCTTGGATGCTCTCCATCTGTTCTTAGATTATTTCTGGGTCCAATTGAAAATTTCACACAACTGTAGGTTCCCGGGATGGTATTTGGTTGGTATATCAACACTACTACCAAGTTTTATATGTGATTCTGTCACCTAGTTGTGGACTCCTGTTCTGCTTGTTTGGCATTTTTACTTCCACGTTTCCTCATTTTTTTCTATATAATTAATTTTACAATAGATATTCTATGTACTTACTTGACTAAGCTTTGAAGTGCTTACAAGCAGCAGGTCCCAAAGAACGTTTAGAAAAAATGTAATTACAAGTTGTAAGTCCTAGCAAATTTGTGGATAAAAATACAGTTTGACCAACTTGTAAACACTTATAAACTTTGCCAAACATGAAAAATATCTTTCTTTAGTGCCACTATCATGTTGCAGTGCAGTTTTTAACCATGGGGTTTTCTGGTTGATGCAGGATGCAACAATTGAACAACTTCTTCCAATATTTCTCTCCCTTTTGAAGGATGAATTTCCAGATGTACGCCTCAATATTATTAGCAAGCTTGATCAAGTCAATCAGGTTTGCAGTCTTTTTAGGGGTCAAACTGTGTTCTAAGCAACTGTTTGTGGTTGATTACTGTGTCAACCTTTTAACTGGGTTCAACTCATATTTATTGCTCTTTCTGTTCAAGCAGGTTATCGGAATTGATTTACTTTCTCAATCTTTATTACCAGCAATTGTTGAGCTGGCAGAAGACAGGCATTGGAGGGTTCGACTTGCCATCATAGAATATATACCTTTATTGGCTAGTCAATTGGGTGTAGGATTTTTTGACGATAAGCTTGGTGCGCTATGCATGCAGTGGCTACAAGACAAGGTTGATATTCTGCTCGAAATTTTGTTATCAATTGGAATGTAGAATCATCGCATGCTCTGCGATTTTGTTCTTTTTCATCTTTTGCTGAATGCTCTGGAATTACAGGAGCTGCTAGTTTGAAACTTGAAGTCTAACCAGATGTTTCCTTTTCCTTGTTTACCTTCGGATGAGTCGAGTGAGAATTATTTAAAATGTAACCAGGGTTTAACATTTAATATTTTCCCTATTCCTTTTTCTTCTCTCTGTTCTCCATCTCAGACATTTATCTTTATTTACTTTGTCATTTTTGCTCTCATGTACAGATATATTCTTCCTGCCAGCTTTCCTGCTATTTGGCCCCTTGTTATTTTTTGATGTACTGTGAGGAGACAAACACCTTCAAATAGAGATGAATTACTTGTCTAACATCTCTGCTATCCGATTCAGGTTTACTCTATCCGAGACGCTGCCGCTAATAATTTGAAACGCCTTGCGGAAGAATTTGGTCCAGAGTGGGCAATGCAGCATATAGTTCCTCAGGTTTGTGGACGCTATCAGAAAATTCTCCCCCTTTTGCTATGCTTAGATTTGAAATACTCGTCTTTCAAATAACTTCACTGCTGATAAGGCTTCCAGTAACTTTTTCCTGGTAAATGGAATCAAAGTAGATTTCTTGATAACAATTTTTGACTTCTTAGTTTATTCAATTTTGGAATGGATTTTCTTTGATTTGGATCTTGCACAACAATTGAATGGATAGTGTTATTATGATTTAATGCAGTCTTACAGCATGTTTGGCAGTTAAAAATAATTGGTTTAACTATAAATAGTTAGAAATGAATGGTGGATTAGTGGGTAGTACTTGTGGGTCTTACGAGATGTGTGGATAAAAAGTGGTTTGACCGATTAAAAACATATTATATAAAGGTGCATGCTTAGAGTATAGAATTCCTTCGAAAAGGAAACAGATACTTCTGCCGTCTGTAACGGGCTCATTTTGCATGCAGGTATTGGACATGTTAAATAATCCACATTATTTGTACCGGATGACTGTTCTTCGTGCCATTTCATTACTTGCCCCTGTCATGGGTCCGGAGATAACATGTTCGAATTTGTTGCCTGTGATTGTTACTGCATCCAAGGACAGGTAATTGTGCTTCAGGGAGTTCATTTCTGTTATTGTTGCATGCATTTTTTCTTTTTCTGGAACCGATTAGCTTGCTTATGTTGCAGAGTGCCGAATATTAAGTTTAATGTGGCAAAGGTTTTGCAGTCCATCATTTCCATTGTTGATCAATCAGTAAGTTCACTTTCTCCTATCTCACGTTTTTGTAAAAACAGAAAGGAAAAAAGAAGACAATTTCACCCGTTTCTCTTTGCTTGATATATATAAGTGCTTGTCATTCCATTTCCTAATATTCTTTTTACTATTGTGATTTAAAACTTGCATAAGTACTTTCCAACCTTCTGAAATCCGGTCTTGCTCTGTAGGTTGTGGAGAAAACCATCCGCCCCTCTTTGGTAGAGCTTGCAGAGGATCCTGATGTTGATGTCCGGTTTTTTGCCAATCGAGCACTCCAGTCAATAGATCATGTTATGATGTCGAGCTAGAAAAGTTTACATGGTTTAGATATCAGTGCTAGAGTTTCCATTCGTATGTTCCTGTAATCCTGCATTTTCGGAAAACTGCTATTTTGCTCAAGAGAAGTAATCTTTCACATTACTCATTTCTTCTCCGTTTTAAGTGGTAGTGCGTTGTTACAAGTGCACGTTGTTGACTCTTGATTGCCTATGAAATTATACATTGTATTGTCTTGTAAAGTTGCCTAGAAAATTGATATATATGAGTAAGACTTTTTCTTGTATAGTCTTGGCAATTATTATTATTTTAATGTTTAACTATGGCTTAATAGCACAAAACGCCCCTACGTTTGGCATGTATTGTGCAAAACGTTCATACGTTTCATTTTTTTTGCATTTTCGCCCTTATTTCAACGTTTAATTGTGGAAAACGTCTTTTTCACCTTTTAAGTGTAAAATGTCCATATGTTTGACACTTATTGCGGAAAACGTCCTTATATTTCAAATTTTTTGTACTTGGCTAATAGAACAAAACGTCCATACGTTTGACACTTATTGCGTAAAACGTCCTTACGTTTCATTTCTTTTGCATTTTTGTCCTTATTTTAACGTTCATTGCGAAAAACGTCATTTTCACCATTTTGAATGTAAAATGACCAATATACCCTCATATTAAAATAATAATAATAAAAATTAAAACATAAACAATCAATATTAACCACATCTTTCATGGATCCCACAACTTTTCAACCATACATTTCAAAAACTTCTATCACAATTTACTAAAAATCTAATTTTAATCCCACCAAACACTGACATAATATTGTGTCTCTCCTCTATTTATCATGAATTAATTGAAGAGTTTTGTAGAATTTAATTACTTCATNTTTGTGCTTAAACCTTTTAATAAGACTTTTGGACTCATTTGCACTTTTTAAAAAGTTTGTGAGTAGAATTAAAATTTATTTTTTATTTTTCTTTTCATTTTTTTGTTTTATTTATATAAAAGGGTATATTGGTCATTTTACACTAAAAAATAATCAAAATGATGTTTTTCGCAATGAAACGTTGAAATAAGGGCAAAAATGCAAAAAAAAAAAAAAAAGAAACGTAGGAACGTGTTGTGCTGTTAAGCCGTTTAACTATCATAAACTTCATTCTACAAAGCCGATCACAATATCATAACTATTCTCATGGTAGTTGTAATGCCCCGAATGATAAACCAACCATTTAAGTGAAAATTTTCATATTAAACGCTCGCTCGATCCCTATTTTTAAAAAAATATATCTTTTTCTTTCCTTTTAATCTTACATTTTTCAATAAAATAATATTACGCGTAAATCTAAAACTTTTTTTTATTTTTAATTATACATTTTTCATCAATTTACTATTCAAATTTTTAAAATACATTCTACACCAAAAATGGGGCTCAAACATGCCCTAAATAAAATCTTGAAATACTACGATTTCAAACCATCGATTTATTTAAAATAGAATGTCAAATGCTCGAACACTAAAAAAACCATTAAAATAAGTTTTTCTTCAAATTAAAATTGGCAATTATCATTTCTAGAAATTTTACTTGGCGACCCCATGAATATTACTCGGTCAATTTTTCAGGCATTCGCACGACCCGTTCTAATTTGAAAAGTTATTGTAAGAGTGAATGTTTTGAAAATACTTAGTAAAGCTACGTGCGTATTCTTATTTAATTTGATAAAAATATATGATGATATAACATACCGACATTCTTAGATTTAGAGCAAGCTGGTCGCGATATTCATTAGTTCAAGGAATTTCTTAACAATTCCTATATCTTATAAGATTTACATATTTGATTTAACGGTCTATCCCAAAAGATTTAACATAAAAATAGACCCGAAAATCTTAAAGTATTTGATGCCAAATTATATAAACATCAAGAAATAAGAATTTACCACTTTGCACTATGCATTCTTACCTCAATTGAACTTTAACATTTAAATTCAAAACTCATTTAAGGTAAATGAAAAAAATTATGAGATTAATTAAATTAATTATTATCAAAATTAATGAATTAATTATGTTTAAAATATTAAATTATAATATCTTTTCAAATACTAATTGAATTGAATTGAAAGTTTTGTTTTATTATTATTTATATTTTTTTATTAATAAAATATAGGATTTAGAATACTTTCTTTCTTTCAAAATAACTCGAATATAATTAGTCCAAAAATATTTATTCTTGAGCCTAATTTATGCTATTTATCACGCGCTACAAAATGAGTATAGTATGGACATATCTTATCAACTTCTAAAATACTTAATTATTCGACCCAAATAACTTATGATAAATTCTAAAAGTACGCGTAAGCAAATAAATTTTTTATGCAAAAAAGTGGGTTGAGCTTACCACTTCAACTTTTGAAACTTTAGTGTGACGACAAAACTAGACATTGGCTATTTCATTTGCTAAATGTCCAACATTAAATTTATGCTCATGTGAAAATAATAAATAAAAATATGGGGGTTACAACAGTACTGAAGACTACACTGACAAGGCACATCTTGGAACTTTCTTCTCTCTCTCGAGAGAGAGGGACAGAGAGAGAGAGAGAGCGAGCGAGCGAGCGAGTGATCAAATTCGCTTAGGGCAAGCCAGGTTTCGAATGGGCAGCCATCATTTATAAAATTATAATATAATAGGCTCATCTATAGGGTCGTCTACTCTACGTACATGTGCCCTGTACCTATATAGGCTTGGACTTTTACGAACCACACCATTGGGAGGTCCACTCTACGTACATGTGCCCTGTACCTATATAGGCTTAGGCTTTTACGAACCACACCATTGGGAGGTCCAAACCTATCGATATATCTATTTAGAATCTATTACTAACTTGAAAATACCACATGAACACAAAATTTAAATTCAAGAGAGATTACAAATAATCTGGGTACTTAAAAACATTGCTGACTCCCCTTCTCTTGAACGGTAATTGAAGGAGATTAAGCATTTTCGTGTAGAAAGATTCTTATTTCAATTCAATGATATGATGATAATATATACGAAGAATTGACCAATATGACAATTGGACAATAACTAAAAATAAAATGGACATATATTAATAAGAGTATTTTATACACTTATTTGAGATTTAAAATATTGATATTTGGCAGTTATTATGACAAAAATATATCCTAAATTGTTGTATTTTATGTTATATAGGTAAAACTCAATGATTGAATGAGAAATTGAAAAAAAACAAAGAAAAATCAAGGAAAAGTGTGAAATCAAAACTATGGGAACCCATTTGCAACAATCTGATAGTTGACTCGAATCACAAAACGAAGATCAAATATGCAAAAGCTTCAATTGGATGCAATTGGGAGCAAAATGGACGAAATATAGCCTAAGTATTATCACAAATCAATATTTAGCCAAAAAAGTCGGGCTCCGAATTTTTAGTCTCAACTTGATATCCATTTTTTAGATAACAAACGTTCGAATTGGAGAAATTTTAATTTCTAAAAGAATTATAGCCATTTGAGTTATCTTTTTAAAAAACTTCGAATCACATCAATCGGATAGTGGAAGAGAAAGTCAATACAAAAATATTGACAACTGTTCATGAACGAACCAACGCGAACTGACTCGTGCGCACGGGCAATTCATGGCGCGTGTATATACGTGGATGTCTCATACATAAAGGTTCTTCTCTTGTACACAATGCATACACCTCAAATACAAAAATTTTTCTCAACATTCATCCATTCAAACCATAAAAAATCAAGAGCTATTTGTTGAGGAACTGTGAAGAATTTATAGAGTTTTGCAAGTAATGATTATGCTGGTCTAACTTTCTAGATGCTAGGACATAGATGAACCCATGTTATGTTGTTTTTGATATTAATTAATTATTTTGATGTCTAAATTTGTGTGTTGATTGGATGTTTACTATTATTTTCACCGACTATTCAATCAATGTAACACGCCAAATTCTAGCAACTTGATGTGTTACCAACATGAATTTCTCAAAAATGCTTAAAACAATTGATTTTAATATAGCGAGAATTCAATTAAAAATTGACAACATTTAATAAAAGATATATTAAAATATGCGAAACATTTTGGAATCATATCATGTATCAAAATATTGATAAAAACTAGTTTTTAACATGCAACTGAAATGGAACTAATTGGAATAGTAATGTTACTCACAACTGAGTCTAAATCTTAAAAAAAATAAAAATTAATCACATGCTTTAAAAAATTCTAATGTTTCTAAAAAATAAAGTACTTCACGACGAGGATCCTTTGGTACAATAGCATATCCACCCACCACCATCTAGCAAGCTAATTTTCATGTGAAATTTGTAAATAAGGAGAATGAGTATAACAAATTATACTCAATGAGATGTTTGCTACTCTACGTTAAAATGTGAAATTATGCATAAATTCTCTTACGAACATAAAATGAGAATTGTCACACCATGAAAAATGATAATTCTAGCAAGCGCTGCAAAATAACATAAAGACTATCTGATACCCGCTGGTACACCTAAAAATTTATCATGATTTCTCCCGAAAGAGCACTGAACTGAAGTAATTAAATTCATATACAAAAGTGTATTTGAAAAGATGTGGAAAACCACTAATAGCACTGAGCACCTCATATATGTGTAGAGCAAAATTAGAGGAAACGATATTCTTGATTGCAAATTCAAAGATTTAATATATTTCACTTTTTTCTTTGCAAAAAATAATATTATACCGTGGAACAGAGAGAATGGAACAAAATAATTACTAGAAGGAAAAATAATATGATATATGCCATGTTTGTTTCGGATTAAAATCAGATTTTAATATAAGTCAAGGTTAAACAATCAATATTAACCACATCTTTCATGGATCCCACAACTTTTCAACCATACATTTCAAAAACTTCTATCACAATTTACTAAAAATCTAATTTTAATCCCCACCAAACACCCTCTAAATATATCTTATGAGTCAGAACAATGTTATATATCCCATTGTCCTTTG